CCCAGAGCTCCCAGGACGGCAGGGACGGCTTTGAATGCGGGTGCTTGGGAACAGGAGTTTTTGGGGGGATCTAGCCTCTTGGACTAGGACAACTCTCTTGGCTCTTGGGGTGCAGCCAGAGGGACTTCAGGTCAACCTCTCCCTCGGCACCTGTTGGGGCCTCTTGGAGATAGTAGGGAAGGAGAATGTGCGCGCTTGAGACAATGATGCAGGGGCTTAAAGGCGCTTCTCTCCGCAGCTCTGTTTGGGGGCTGGGGCACCTCACCAGCACCTGGCTTGGTTCTGGAGGACTCCTACTCTCTGCAGGCCAGCAGACACATACTTAGTTCCGTCCCACACCCTCAATTCTTCTGCCCCCCGCCTGCCAGCCTGCTGGGCGGCAGAAACTCTCCAGCCTTTACCGGATCCCAGGGAGGGCTAATGAGAAATCTGGATGGTTTACATTTTTGGATCTGCATCTGGCCCCGGATAAAGTACCAATTTATCCTGATAGTGTTGGAGGCAAGAAGGTGAAAGTTATTCCAGACCTCTGCTAAGATGTAGTCCCCAGCCTCAGCTCTATCCCTGGGGCTGTGTCCCCCTCCCCAAGCTGTGTCTTCCCCTCCCTGGACCATGTGGCCTCTCTTTGGTCTCCTGCCCCAGCTCTGCCCCTACCCCCACCCAGCCCCTTCCCCAGCTCCACAGGTCTACTCCCCAAGCTGGTCTATGCCCTACACTCCTTGCCAACATCCAGTCTTGGGTATCAGACCACCTGGCTGGTCACTAACTAGGTCTGTAACCACCAAGACCCTGCTCCTCTCAAGGCCAAGTATCTCCCACCTGTAAAATGGGAGTGATTTTACCTTCCTCCTCCAGTTGTGAGGAATAAATGAAGACTTAGCATGAGGCAGGTAGTGGGAGGCATCTAGTACATGTGACTCCCTCAACCTTACCCTAACAGGGAGAAATGCCCTTTCTTACCTCCACTGATGCCTGAGGCACTGCCAGCAGGTCCCATTCAATCTGTGTAGGGTAATGAACCTCAGAAGAGCTGCCTGTGCCATGTAGCCCAAGGCCCAAAGGGAATTAGAGGAACTATGAGAAAAACAAGGCATGCTACCTAAAAGGTGCTTGTCTCATATCCCCAGTCTGCCTTGTCTGTGACTGTAAATGTGTGTGCGCATGGCGGGCCAGGGGACTAGCTGGAGGGATGTAGAGCCTCTGAGGTGGGGACCTGTGGACCCCTGGGGCTTGGTGCTGCAGGGTTCCTAGTCTGTGACCAGATTTCACATAAGTTTCTGAATTGTCCACTTCCCCTCTGAAACGTCAGAAGATCTGGCACTCCTGAGCCATCTTTCCTGCCTACTGACCATCAGTTAGAGTTGCACAGCAAATGCTCCCCATAAAGGGGCCGTCACCCTCCCTGTGACCCCCCTCCACATCCAGCTTTGCTCATATCTGTTTCTTGTACCCTTGGTATGTAGTATAGATGAACTTTTCTTTGAGACAGAGTCTTGCTGGTTTGTCACCCAGGCAACTCTTGTCAGTGCAGTGGGATTGTCACAGATCATAGCAACTTCAAAGTCCCGGGCTTAAGGGATCTTCCTGCCTCAGCCTCCCCAGTAGCTGGAACTACAGGCACCCACCGCCATACCTGGCTCATTTCTATTTTTAGTAGAGATAGGGTTTCGCTCTTGATCATGCTGGTCTCAAACTCTTTCCCTCAGGTGACCCTCCAGTTTTAGCCTCCCAGAGTGCTAGGATTACAGGCATGAGCTAGATGAACTTTTGGTTCCTTTGCAGGGTTGGTTCTCTCTCTCTCTCTCTCTCTCT